ACGAATACGTGGAAGAAGATTCAAACCCGTCCACTACGTAAAAAATTTTGCCCAAAGATCTTGGCCTACACCCGTTTAAGATCCAGCTGGTGCAGGAATTAAAACCACGAAACCATCATATGCGTCGTTCTTTCGCCGATTGGACTCTAGAGCAGTTGGAAACTGATCCGATGTTTTATCGCAAAATTGTGTTCAGCGATGAGGCTCATTTTTGGCTTAACGGGCCGCATATGGAGTGAAACCAATCCACAACAGACCCTACAGACTCCATTACATTCACAAAAATGCACCGTTTGGTGTGGTTTGCACGCTGGTGGCATCATTGGACCACCATCAAAATTGGACCGATCAATGGAGATCGTTACCTCACCATGATCAATGATTTTTTATTTGAAAATATCGGTGATCCGGGCGAGATGTGGTTTCAACAGGACGGCGCTACGTGCCATACAGCGACCGCAACCATCGACTTATTGAAATCAAAATTTGGCGATAAGTTGATTTCGAGAAATTGATATGCTAATTGGCCTCCAAGGTGGTGCGATTTGACACCTCTCGATTATTTCCTTGGTTTATGCTGATAAACCAGCAACAATTGACACCTTGGAGGCCAACATTGTTCGTGTTATTCGTGACATACGGCCAGCAATGCTCGAAAAAGTGGCCTAAAATTGGACTTCCAGAATGCGCTTCGTCAAGAACAGCCGCGGTGCCCATATGCCCAAAATTATTTTTAAATGTTAAATGCCATGAGTTGATCTTTGGATCAAAAAAATTTTTTGGTTTAACATTTAATTTTTTGTGTTACTTTTTTCAATTTAAAGTTCTATCGGGCTTAAAAAAACACCCGTTATATCTAGAGATTTTGCAACAATTTCCTAATGTTATTTCTGAGTGAATCGAAAGTTTTTAAGGATTTTTACAGAAATTGTACGAAATTTCAAGAATATCCAAGAAAAAAGGTTATCCATTAATAATATCTAGGATTTTAACGATTTTCAAAGATTCTTATAAGCATTTCCAAGTATTCCCATAAGATTTTCAAAGATACCATACGAATTTCTCAGGATTTTTGAGGAATCGAACGAGTTTCCAAAGATTTCTATAAATATTCAGATTTTCTAAAAGTTTTTATGATACATGATTTTGTAGCAATTTCCTAAAATTTTTAAAGATAATCAAATATTTCTAGAGATTTCAAGGAATATCCACAGATTTTTACGAATTTCTTAGGATTTTTGAATGTATCCAAGATTTTTTAATGATTTTTGGAAAAATTAGAGGGATTTCCAAGGATATCCAATGATTATTACGAATGTCAAGGATTTTTCCAAAAGATTTCAACGAACTTTCAAGTATACCATACAAATTTCTCAGAATACCTAAGGTTATCTAGGATTTTGCAGAGATTTCTACAGAATTTAAAGTTTTTAGAAGATTTTATAGGTATTTCCAAACATATCTAAGGATTTTGAAACGATTTCCAATGATTTTCATAGTCAACTGGGTATTTCTAAAAATATTAAACAATTTATACACTTTTTTTAGAGCTACTAGGATTTTTGAGTGTATTCAAGGTTTTTGAATGATTTTTTAGCAAAATTGGAAGAATTTCCATAGATATTTATGGATTATTACGAATATCAAATGATTTTTAATTCTTCCCAGACACTCATGTATGTATTTCTTAGTATTTCCAGGAGATTTCCAAAAGATTTCATGGGATTTTCAAGTATACCATAAAAATTTCTCAAAATACCTTAGGTTATCTAGGATTTTGCAGAGATTTCTACAGAATTTCAAGTTTTTAGAAAATTTTATAGGAATTTCCAAACATATCTAGGGATTTTGAAACGATTTCCAATAATTTTCATAGTCAACTGGGTATTTCTAAAAATTTTAAACAATTTAGACACCTTTTTAAAGCTATCCATCGATTTTTACGTATATCTTAGGATTTTTGAGTGTATCCAAGGTTTTTGAATGATTTTTTAGCAAAATTGGAAGGATTTCTAAGGATATCTAGGAGTTCTAGAATCTAGAATCAGTCAATCAATCTATGAAAATTACATAGAATTCCTACGATTATCTAGGATTTTTAAGAAAACTTTAAAAAATTGTACATTTTAAGCTAAATACTGAAAATATAAGTATTAAGTACCTACAATTTTAAAGTACTGGCAGTAAACTACTTAAATTAAAAAAGTATTGAATATTTTACTTGCAGTACATTTTTACTGCAAATAATTCAACTCTGATATAGGGTGAGTTATTAGTATCCTTATACTTATTCACAAAAAAGAACAAAACACAAATCGCTCAACAGCTACATACCAAAAGTTCAATAAATTTTTAACTAAAAATAAATTATTCGAAAATTCAGTACCTAGTCGGTTACGAAATTGTACGTCAAACTTGAAAAATAGGTTATAAAATCATTTGACAACAAGGTTTTATAAAATATTTGTCAAGTTTGACGTACAATTTCACAAGTAGCATTAACGAAATAAGTGTCTTTAGTTATTTGAGTTTTTCATGAAAACGACAATATTTTTTAAAAAATAATAAGAGTAAAAAAAGTTTTAGAATTAAATTCCACATGAAATGAGGTAATAATGTAGCAAACACTAACTGTTAAGCTGTAGGGTTGTTAATCGAAAGTTGGAATGAATTTTTAATGAAAAAATCTTAGTAGGCTTTGCAATCTTTGTCAGAAATATTTTTGACGTTTAAATGTCAGTGGTTTTCGTACTATTATTATTGTTTTATTTAAAATTTTGAAACGTCGAGTGAATGAGCGTAAATGCGATAGAACTTTATTTAAAAATTAATTTGATAAAAATAATAATAGTAAGAAAAACACTGACATTTAAACGTCAAAAATATTTCTGACAAAGATTGTAAAGCCTACTAAGATTTTTTCATTATAAATCCATTCCAACTTTTGATCGACAACCTCGTTGTTTAACGTGCAGTGTTTGCTTTATTTTTTTTCTCAAAAATTAGTTGTTTTTGGAAAAATTTTAGAGAGGCAAAAAAGTTTTAGGATACTTTCATCTACTTAGATAAATTTTTTTTTTTGAATGTATTTATCATCTGCATAAAAAAAATATTAGCAAAAATGTGAAGGGGGTGATTACGTTTAGTAGTTTAGAATGGTAGGTTGAAAGTACAGGGTGTCCAAATTTCGATGGGTTTGCAGGGTATCCCAGTTATTATGAAAGATAGAAAGTTGCGGCTTTCGCGAACCTGAGCTACTTTTTTGTGAAACTTACAATGGCGCAAACCAAATTTTCATAGCCCTCTTCGTTTTTGATATACAGGGAGTGTTTGAAATTTACGATTTTCAGACACCTCCTGTATCTCGGCTATCCGGAAACGTA